CCTCTAAGTGGGGACAAGATACCATAAGCTTGGAAGCCTCCTCCCAGTCAGCCGAAACCAACCCTGAGCCAATTGCTACACCCCCCGAACTGTGGCTCAACAGCTCGGCGGGAGCCAGTTTTCCGGCTGAGAGATGTTAGACTGCCCCTGAGGCTGCTGAGAAGACTGCGTGGCCTGAGGTCGAGAAACACGAACTCCATCACACTCCCTGGCAAAGTGACCCAACTGCTGGCACTGTCAGCACACTATAGAACTACGATTAAATAAACGGCTACTTTTCTGTGAGTTTTGTAATGAGAGAAAACTTTGAGAAAGCTTATTTATCTGATCTTGCTGAAGTTTCATCATTTCTTTCATCTCATTTAACTGAGAGGTCAGGTATGAATTAGCTGCTACTGGGGGACATTGCACCCCATACTGAAAACCAGGCACAGAGGGGACAGATCTGCTCCGATCCCCAATACCTCCRGAGGAGCCCTCCTGCTCCCACCTCATAGCTTCAGCCCTGACATCGAGCAAAGAAGCGGTGGGTTGCCCACGCACAAAACACTTTAAATCAAGGCGCAAGGCACCATCAATCACATGRTCAGTAAATTGATCACGCAACAAAACTTCAGCATTGGGCATCCGAGTGGGTGCCTGTTGCTTTACCGCAGTCATCAGACTCATTAATGCAAGAGAAAACTCTTGAAGATTCTCTCCTTCCTGTTGATGCCGTGAAAAGAAAGCCTCCTGTAAAGCAACATAGGAATCTAGACAACCGTAAAGCTCTTGTAAAACTGCAATGATCCTGGCAGGGTCCTCTCTATCTGCACGAGGGCGAAACTTAATCTCCTCTCGTGCTTCTCCTTCCAGGTGATTAAACAAAAAAATGCTTGATCAGCCTCAGATAGATGGCGTGGTCTCATGCAAGCCTGCACCTCCACAAGCCATTCTGCTAATCCGATACCTTTCCTTCCTCTGAACATAGGACACTTCCTATCACGTGGGACAAACACCAGTCTCTCCATTAAAGGGGRATTAACACTGGAGGGAGCAGTGAGGGGCACCGCAGATGTAGAAGGTACAGCATCTTGATCAATAGCCACTGCACCCCTTTCCCGCTGCAGCTTCTCGTTTTCTGCTCGCAATGACTGGACCAAGTCCTTTAATGTCTGCAYCTCCTCCTCCATGTTCACTTAAAAATTTGCTCTCACTGCAATTTAAAAAATAAATAATTTAGCACACAAAAAATGACACACTGCTGCTTTGCTTCTCAATTAATAATACAAACACACACAAAAAAATGTAAACTTTTAAAAGGAAAAAAATGAAACGTTGGAACACACGTCTTTGTTTTAAACAGTAGATCCTACTGACAATGCCAGTTTGTGGCAACTTAGAGCGTCTTAGAAAAGTTRGACAACGCCACCTGGGACTTTCACCCCAAGATTAAAACTCAAACAAGGCACTTAGGCTCTTTCTACAAATCACAGAGACAGTGTTCCAAAGTTAAAATA